TGCTTGTTTCTCAGGCTTCTTGCATTTGTGTATAGGCACTTAAGATAACTCATCCATCATCCCTCTTTCTCAGCATGAGACAGGAGTCCTCACCTCTTGCACTCTCCTGCTTGTGCTTCCTCCCAGGATCCCATTTCCCCACTTATCTCAGGGCTTTGGTCTCCTTCCCCCCGGTGAACCTAGTTTAAAGCCCTTGAAAATTAGGTTCAAGTGTTTTTGCTGCTTTATGATAGATAAAGAAGGTATGAAAGGTTGTCTCTCTCTCTCTCTGTTCCTGCTTGTTCTTTACAGTAGAATTATCAGGAAAAAATGGTTGCTCACCCTACAGTAACCGTCAGGTGTAGTAGGTGGATTTGTTTTAGGTGTAGACCAGGCCTCAATTCCCTCACCATTGCAAGTCAATGTTGCTGAGGATTCTGAAAGAGGGGATGGAGGATGGGTCCTGGGATGAGGAGTGCCATCTGCATCAGCTGAACAATTGTAGTACTGCTCTCCCGGACTTGGCTGCTCAGCCCCAAGTGTAATGCTTGCCAAAGGTCAGTGGGTCGCAGCTTGGCAGATTTCTGATCTGGGCACATTCCTGAAGCAGGCAGAGGATGCCACTTGAGCTCTAAGGCTCACTCTGCTAATGTTGGATGAGAGAGAGATAGATCAGCCAGCTGATAACATAGCAAGATACATTGCGTTACCCATTTCAATATCCTCTCTGAAGAGATGGCCTGCCCTTTAGAAAGTGTCAGGTTTCTCACTCCTGTGGCTCTCCAGTTCTGATCCAGGACTTGGAGGCTCTGTCCTTGGAGAAGTGATGTTTTATGTCTTCTTTTTGAGACTTTCCTTCATGCTGCAGCTCTGTCTGGCTCAGTGATTCAGTGTCACCTTTATGCGGCACAGGTGCCAGCTTTGCTGCCTGGAGTGCCAGTATGGCTGGGGGAGGGGGAAGGTCTTCGGCACCAGCATTTTTGGCACTGGGAACTTCACCCACATTGATAGGTTGGTATCAAAGTCATTGGTGCTGGCTCTGCTGGTATCCTCTTTGCCTTCTTTCCACTTTCCACTGGGAGCTCATATTCAACTCTTTATCCACAATGACTCCAAGTCCTTTTCCGTTGCTGCTTTCCAGGATGCAGTTCCTCATCTTGTGTGACTTACATTCTTTGTTCCTAAATATAGGACCTGCCTGTATTAAAACACACGTTCAAATAAGCCCATTTTACCAAGCAATCCAGGTTGATCTATATAACTGACCTGTCTCAATGATTACCACTCCACAAACTTGTGTGTGATTCGCAAGTTTTATTAGATAATTGATAAAGATCTTGAACAGCATTGAGCTGAGAACAGGTCCCTGGGGACTGCACTAAAAACACCTCCATTGGATGACTATTCCCCATTTACAAGTGTTTTTTGTAATCTAGCAATATCCATTTACTAGTGGCTACATTGATTTTGAACGGTGTTATTTATTTTTTTTATCAGAATCTCATGCAGAACTAAGTCAAATGCCTTACAAAAGTCTAGGTCTATTATGTCAACAGTTACCTTTAGCAGCCAAGCCTGTGATCTCCTCAAGAACCAACAATAAATTTGTTTGACAAGACCTATTTTCCATGAAACCATCTTGATTGGCATAAATTATGCTACATCTTTTAATTATTTACTATTTGCATCCCATATTGGCCTTTTCACGATTTTACCTGGGATCGTTCTCAGACTAACTGGTCTATAGATTGTCACATCATCCCCTTTATCCCTTTTTAAATAGTGGGGCATTGGCTTTTTCCAGACCTCTGGAACTTCCCCAGTGTTGCAATGTCTGTTAAAAATCAACAGCAATGGTCCAGACAGCTCATCATCCAATTCTTTTAATACTCTTGGGCACAAGTTATCTAGCCCCACAGATTCAAGGGTTTAATAGTTGCTGCTTAACATCCTCTTAGTTATTGCTGGAATAGAAAGTATTTCATTATCACTAAGATATGATTCTCTTGTTTCTTTCTGAATACAGAAGAAATATTTGTTGAATATTTCTGCTTTTTCTGTTTGTTAATTTTATCATCCTTGTCTAGACCTATCCCATGGTTAGGACTTTGTTCTCAATATATTTAAAGAAGCCCTTAAGCCCTATTGACCATAAGCTTCTTTT